TTTTTTTTTTTTGTAATATCAAACTTTTTCACACGGAAAGCCAAAGAACGATTTCCTTTTGCAGAGCAAAACAGTGTATCGCTGATATAAACGCAAATTACATTTTAGGATACGAATATGTGAAACGATATTTATCAGAGAAAGTTTTACGAGCGGTAAAAAAAATATTACAATACAATGCACCGATATAATATATAACGTGATATTGCTATAAAAATTATATGACATTATCTTTGTGTGATGTCAAATATGGTGGACGAGATATGGCTTCAGATATGGTGGACGAGATCCAAAAAGAAGTTGAATATCAAATCCAAAGTTCAACTTGGATGGACGATGGAGTCAGAGATATTATTTTGGACAAATTAGTATACATGGACAGGAAGATCGGATATCCGAGTTCGTATCGAAATATTACTGTCATGAAGGAACATTTCAGAGGGGTGAGACTTTAATATAGACTATAATCTTCTAGTTTTATTGCTCACTTGCAGTCATCTTCGTGTTTCTTTTCTATATTTAATTAACTTTATAATAGCTCAGCGCCAGCAAATCGCATTTCGAGAACATGTTAAGCATCATGAGATACGAGAAATGGGAAAACCTGAGAAGTACATTCTCAGAGAAGGATTCTATCGAAGCATTTGAGGAGTAAGTATCTTTTTCATAATAATGATGAGCGTACCATTTTAAATATAGTTTTACTGAATTTCAACTAATCGAAAGATCAATTATTCCTTTACAGGCTGGACTTCAATCCTTTAATAGTAAATGCCTTCTTCTCACTCGTGGAGAATTCCATTCGTAAGTTTGGAGACAAAGAAACCTAAAAAAATCTAATTGCCATGAAAATAAAAATCAGTTCGTCGCTAAAATCGAATTTGTCGAACAGAAATCGTAGAACATTTTTATTGTCGCAGGAACAACATCGGTGGATTCACAACAACCCTTCTTTGATTTCAAACAACCGTGGTAAGTATAAGTTAATATGTATTTTTTATTTTATCACAGATTAATAAAATTGCTATACAAAAGTTAATTTAATTTACAACGAACAATACTTTATACAAATTATTTATATTTATATTATTTATATTTATATTTATATTTGAAATTATATATCACATATAATGTAGGTATACAAACTATGGTATTATCGGAGTGATCATGAGCCAGTGAAGTAAACCATGGTTTTGATATCCTGGGTAACGTATCGTAAAATATCATTGACAACAATCTTGGTTTTTTTACAGAAGTATTAACGCGATAGAGATAATTTTCAGGTCGTTTATTTAACAAAGACGAGGGTTTCGCGGAATGGTCACGTAAAATGCTAAAAGCGTACGACAGAAGAGAAGAATGCTTCACAGACCAATTTACCAGATATTATAATATTGTGGAGAAGAA